GCCCCCTGTCATGCTGATCCCGGTGCTGGGAGGCACATGACCCTTTTACTATATAGGATAGAGGCCTGGTGCATGGGTGGGAACCAGCTGGTTTGCCCTGAAGGCTGTCCTGGATCAGGGTGGAGGTCCTGCTTGGGTGCCTGGCCAGTCTGGGTGAGGGGCTGAGGGCTGTTTTCAGTCTGGTGGGTGACTGAAGCTCCCAACTCCCAACTGCTCCTTTTTTTCTTTTTATTCTGGGCCAGCTTTAGCTCTGGCTCCAGCTCTGAGGCCTCTGCTGCTGAAAGAAGGTATCTTCTTTGTTTCGGTTCTATAATCGAAACAATGTATAACTCCAGCTCTGAGATCCCGGGCTTGCTGAAAGGAAGTTTCTGGGGTTTTGTTTAGCTTCTATATTTGTTAAAATGTATCTTAAACTTGTATCAAGTTTAAGATTATGTTATTTCTCAGTACTATTATACTTTCATGTGTGATACAAGTATAATCAAGTTTGCCTGGATCAGGGTGGGGGTCCCCACTGGGGTGCCTGGCCAGCCTGGGTGAGGGTATGATGGCTGTTTGCAGCTGGTCATACACCCTTCAGGGTGGGGGTCCCCACTGGGGTGCCTGGCCAGTGTGGGTGAGGGGCTGAGGGCTGTTTTCAAGCTGGGGGTGACTGAAGCTCCCAACCGCTCTTTTCTTTCTTTCTTTTTTTTTTTTATTCTGGGCCAGCTTTAGCTCTGAGGCCTCGGCTGCTGAAAACAAGCTTCTGGCCTTTGTTTACCGTCTGTATTTGATACAATGTTGCAGTCCAGCTGGCTGAAGCCCCGCTGGGAACGTTGGAGTCCTCCGTCACTGAAGCAAGCAAGCCTCCCTGTTCACATCAGCTGCCTGGCTGCTGGCCGCCATCTTGGCTGCCCTAAGTCAGGCATGAAAAAAGTAAGCAAACATACTTACAGGATATAATTTTCATTCAGTATTGTTTAAATCTCATATTATTGATCCCTGAGATAGTATGCCCTCTTTTAACAACTTAATTTTATTACTTTAAAGATTGGGGATATGCTCTTTATTGTACTACCTATCAATAGCAAAGCCATAAAAATGTTTTCTTTACATGAGTAAAGGAGTCAAGTATCTATAATGTGAAAAATATATTTGAGAGAATGTGGTTCATAAGCTTTTTAAAATATACATTTTTAGAAACATGTTTATTACAAGTTTTGTAAACACTTCACTACATGCTTATAGAATGGGTTATTGCCTATAAACTGCTAGAAACTGGCTGTCCTTTTAGTACATCTTGTGTGGCTTTTCTTTAACCTGGAGTCTTTAGGATTTCTTCAGTCTTGACCTATGCCAAGGTGTAACATAGCAAAACAATTAAGACTTCTTATAACTCATCTTTGTTCTTATAAAAAAACTCTACTATATGAAAGTATATATTACCATTTCAAAATATTTTAAATATATTTCATAGCAAAAAGTTTTAAGGAACATTGCTGTTTTTCCTTTTTCTTATTCTTATGAGATATGATCTAGAAACTATATAATTTTAAAACTGAAAGTAACCATAGTTACCTAGTCTAATCTCCTGATATTTAAAAAAACAAACTGAATTCCAAATAGATTATGTTATTTCTCATTACTATTATACTTTCATGTGTGATACAAATTAAAGTCTTGATTAAATATGTCTTTTACATTCACACCTGGTTGACTTTTCTACTCCAATATTTGAGAAGAAGTCATGAAAACATTTTCTATGATGAAATATATAATTGTGTAATCTCTAAGAGTTAAAATAAAAGCATGCTTTGAAATAAGATGTAAACAATTTGGATTAATTGAGGTTTCCCGGAATTCTTAGGAACAGCTCAGAAAAGTTAGTATTAAAATATCTCAGGGCATGAACTGCTGGGTGGTAGTAAACACTGTCCTTATGTACCACAAAAAAGGTATCTATTATAAAATAGCTTTCATATAAAATATGCAACCAGAAGGAAAATTTGTGCTTATATTAGTGAGCATAAATAATTTATTTTAATATTTTGAGGCATTGTGATTTTCCTTTAATTTAAAAAAAGCCCTATTTGTTTTTGAAAATGAAATAAAATTATAAGTTACTAATAGAGTTTTATAAAAACAAATTTTTAATGTGTGTCCTATTTTAAGGCATTTAAATTATTATTGAGGAAGGACCCCAAATAAACCAAGTTTTATAATAATATATCTCTTATGTCTGCACTCAGACTTTCTGGAAAGTATTTAAAGAAAGATCATAATGACAGTCTTTCACATTTGGCTTTACAGGATACATAACTTATGTTGTAGTCATATAAAAATGTCAAGAAAAGATTCATAACAGATCAGAAGTAAAAATTCCACCTGGTGCATCAAATCACAAGATTATAAAGGGATTACCCTAACATAACCTTCAGGAAAAAAAAAAAAAAACTCATCAAAATAAGATATTGCTGTACCATAAAATTTAAATCAACCAAAATTACTGAGTAAAACTATAATTATTCTTAAGCCAAAAAGCAACAACCCCTAACAATATTTTTAGAAGTGTATGATGTTTGTAATCAGGAATAAACAGCTGTTTCTTTGAGTAAAAATCTAAAAATGGCACTGGGTTCCATTATTACTCTTTTATTGGCGGATGCTAATAAAAATATATGACCAGAAAAGTCAACATAGATGGCGAAGAGATTAGGAGACAATATAATTTTGTGTAGTGTGCTCTTAAGTATATCTTAATCTATATAGAAGATTATAATAATTTTTTTTGCTAGTGAGGATGCACTTTTGTTTTAAATGATCAATAAATGTTCAGTAATTTATGTGGCTTAAACTGTAAATAATTGGAAGAAAGAGAGTTTAGCTATAAGCTGACATAGATAGTAAAACTATTATATAGAAGTAGTCACAGTAAAAATAAAACGACCTGTTTCTTATCTTTTACCAGCTAAATTGTATGTTAACAATCTACATGTGGTAAAATGTTATGCCTTATAAATTTAATTTTCTATACCAAGCTAAATGGACATATAAAGTTACGCTCATTTTTTTCATTCTCAGAGAACAAAAATCATTACATATTATGTTGGGATTTTGTTTTTTGTTTTTTTTTCTAGTAGATATGGTTTGAGTGGCTAAAATGACTAAAAAATGCTTTTTTCTTACAATGGTATTTCAAATGGCTGTTTTTTCTTGTAAGGAGATAAATGTTTGCACATGAGACCTTCTTGTTAAGTCATTGTGAAAAGAGAGTGCAAAACTTAGGGTAATTTATCTGGGAAACATCAATAATTTTGGAAGCAACGCCGGTTGTAGGTCTCAGGAATTTTTAGAAATTCTTTAGGAATTTTTCAAAGTGTATACTCCAAGAATTTAGCATATTTAAATCGAAAACATTAAGGCCAAAAGATTCAAATATGTACTGCAATACCCAATTGGAAAGAAGGTCAGATGATTGTGGTGATGGCCTAAATGATTTCAAAATGCTGTCAGCTTAGCCTCATTCACAGAATATCAATTTTTCAGAAAGTTCAAGGTAACATTTTAAAGGACTGTCACTTAATGAGAGATGTAGCATACTTAGCCTGGAGAACAGGCAGTACTCACAGAATGAATGAAAAGACAAATACTAGAAACTGAGTAATACTGGGGTTATTAATGCCCATTCTTTCAGGTGTTTTTCCTTACTCTTAGAGTCATCATCATGCTATTAATATGCCACATTAGCTTCTTTATCACAAAAATGTTGGGGATTTGGAGAATTTCACATCAAAATCTAGCCAGTATGTTTATTATCATACACTAAGTCACAATTTAGCCTTTGTCTTTTTTAGTTATTGTGAAAGCTCTAATGAATAGAATAATTGTTTCCTCTTCTGTCATTAAACTACAGGTGGGCACATGATATTCAGCATATAATATAAATGATTCCATTTATAGTTTCACTTTCAACAATAATTTTGAAATCAAGCTAGTTAATTAATGACAGTTGAGTAAGACAATAATGCAATAACAACCAAAATGCTTATCAATATGCAAAAGATAGCACAGGTAGCTGTAGTCTAATTTCCAGACATTTCCACTTAACGATTATCTGGCTTCAGTAAGAAATAGCAAGTGTCAGAGAAGTTGTGGAGAAAAAGAAACCCTCATACACGAATGGTGGGGATGTAAACTGGAACAGCCACTATGGAAAATAGCATGGAGGCTCCTCAAGAAATTAAAAATAGAGTTACTATATTAACGCCGGTGGTCTTGATCCGGCATCAATAAGGGTTCAGAAATATGGAGAAGGCGTTGTGTGTAAATTAAATAGGAGTCCAGAGATGAAACATAATTTTGAAAGGCATTTTAGGGAGTCAGAGAAGACTTAGCTAATGGAACTAAGTTCTCCTTGTCTCAGGATCCCTTGCTTTTTATTAACACAATTTGCCATACAGCAAGGTAGAGATATACACATCAAAGGGTAGGGTTTCCTACAGAATCCATTGTCAGATTGGGGAATTGCCTTCAGCTGTTCAGGTGTTTGGCCAGTAGGAGGCAATAACATGTAGATTAAGTTGCCCTGAGCTGTCTGGCAGCAAGCAATCATTTAATGCATTCTTTTCAGGTTTGGGAAAATGCCTTTTAGCCATTCCCAGATGATTCAACCCTTGCTGACATGCTAGAATTGGCATCTGGCACCATATGACCCAGCAACCCTTCTTCTGGGTAACTACCCCATGAAATATTTACTTGTAGAGATATATGTACCCCTATGTTCATTGAAGATGTGGTACATTCATACATATGAAGTGATCAAGTACTGCCATTTGTGACAACATGGATGGATCTTGAGAATATCATGCTAAGTGAAATAAGTCAAATAGGAAAAGTCAAGAACCATATTATTTCATTCATATGCAGAATATAAAACAGAAAGCAACAAATGGACAAATGAGAGAAACAAACAAAAACTCAGACACAGACCACAGTATGTGGGAAAGGGAGTTGGAGGAGGTAGAAGAGGGTAAAAGGGGGTCAAAAAGATGGTGACAGAAGAGGACTTGACTTTGGGTGGTAAATACGCAATGTGATATACAGATAATTATAGAATTGTACACCTGAAACCTATATAAGCTTATTAACTGGTGTCACACCAATAAATTTAATAAAAATTTTAAAAATAATAAATTTTCAAAAATGATCTGATGTCTATTTTTTTCTATTGTGGGGTTATCCTGTAATTTTGTTTTTTTTACAGGAGTAGGATTAACACTACTCCTCTTTCTAGTAATAGAACACTGATTTTCCTTTATATGTAGTTTTGTTAGAAATGTCTTCTCCAAAACTGTCTATCTGATTGACACAGCCAAACAATGATCACTTCCCTAGTCAAGGTGTGGTCAGATTATTTCTCCTGGAAATATAAACTTTGAGTCAAATGTAGATGCAAGACCAGACATTCTGTTTTACTGAGATTATACAGTGGTTCCTGCTGTTAAGATCTCAAGAGCCTACATGCAGACAAGCCCTTTGGTAGATCTTGTCCCACCCCTGCCTTTCCTCTGAGATTGGGCAATCTTGTTCTATGCTTCCATGTCTCCGGATCTATTTTGGCCATCAGTTTGTTTTGTTCATCAGACAAGAGTGATAAAGGCCTGGGGTGTGGAGGGGGGG